AAGATGTTGGTTTAGACTTAGGCTTAGTCATGACTTCTCCTCAGCACACACTGAACTATTGCCAGGCTGCTCATGAAAGAGGAGGTGCTGCTCTGCTTCAGCAGTCGCTCTGCGTGTGTGTGTGTGTGTGTGTGCAAGGAGAAAGCAACACACCGTGAGCTGATAAATGTACGTAACCTCCACGGATGGAGTTCATATCACTTCGTAATGAAAATATTGTCCTTATGGGCTTGGGGAAACTGAGGCACCGTGAGATGAACTAGTTTGACCAACACCACAACTGCTAGTGAAAGCCATAGGAACATTAAGCAAGTCTCCTGTTCAGTGGCCTCTTTGCCAAGGGAATAAAAGGTGCAGCACGGGACAGGTTGGAGCTCACCCGTCCCAAACGGAAGGCTCTCGACTATGAGGGCAGTAACAAGCTACTTCTGTAATTTTATTCAGTAGCTTTACATGTCTGCTACTCTACATGATTTAAAAAAAAAAAAAAAAAAAGAGGAAAGGTGGCTTTACTTCACAGACTTGGTTATTTTCCACATTGAAAACCATTTTTAAATTAAAAAAGCAAGGTGTTAACAACATCCCAGAGAAACGGATGTCTTTACATAGATACAGCAGTAAGTAATACCAGATCCCCTCAACAGAGTTTAGAAAAATCAATAGAACTGGCGCAGAATATGTGAAAAATATCTGGGCTGAGAGCATGGGCTGGCTTTTTGCTTCCTTAAAAAAGATAAGAATGTACTGGAGTAAAAGCAAAGCATTAGCATATCAATGAGGGGGGAAAAAAAACTAAGATAAATTAGTCAGGAAGGAAACTTTCCTGTTGGTGACTCACAATCACAGTGAAATCCTAGATATCCTGAAGTCAGCATTAACAAATTTTACCAGCCTTTTTCTCCAAGATGGATTCTGCTCGAAGAAAACAAGCTATTCCAGAGATCCAGTGGTTTCTTGGAAAAGAGATAAGAAAGTAATAAAAATGCATCGTGATGAGTTTTGTGGTTATTGGATTTTACTTTTGTTTATTGAATTAATCTACATCACTTAAGGATTTCTAATGTAGCACTCCAAGCTTCTGTACTTTTTGTTCTAGCTGATTGCTCTTAACAATGTAAATTATCTGTTACCAGCAAGGGTCAATTTAACTCAGTTCCAAACCTTTTAACTCGTAACAGATGGATCAGAAAGCCAGGGTTAAGAAAAGCAGCTAAAATATGACAGCATGACGTAAACCTTACACTAGCACAAGACTGTGTTTCTGGGTTGCTCGCTCTACGCTCAGGCTTTCTGAATATCGAGCGCTGAATAAAAACTCTGATATTCATTTACAGAATCGAAATCTGCTGAACTGAAAGAGCCGGGGTTCATTTGTATCAGCCTTAAAAATAAAGCTATAAACATGGCTAGTAATGGGCAGCATTTTCCTCCATCTAACGTGGCAAGTTCGGGCAGCCCGGTGCTTTCACGTGACCAAAAGTGAGTGCTGGAAATGGGAAATGTCCTGTGCTTTACTGGCAGATTCCCCTTCCCAGCCCTCAGCCTGGACTTGCCACTCCATGGATCTTGGCAGGGTGAACGGGAGGAGCCCGAGGACCTGAAGGTTGCCTGCTCTGGGGGGGAAGCAGGAGGAGCTGCCTCCTGGTGATTGCCATCTCTTTACACGTTGGCTCTTTGAATGGGTTTGCAGCTTGGGACCAGAGGTTTCAGCTGGTACTGCCAAAAAGTGCTTGATTAAGTCATTTATCATGTGTCTCTCTAACTTACTGCACTCAGAACCACCACCAAAGGGAAATCTGGATACAGAACTCAAAGTCTGAGGTGAACTCCAGATTACCAAGTTTTTAGCAATCTCTTGATGAGACGGTACAAGGGTCAGTTACTGTTGCAGGGGCTTTTTCTGGAGGTGTCACAAGGAGTTTGTTTCCGAGACCAATGCATTATTTTCAGGAATCACTTTTTTTTTTTTTTTTTTTCAGTAATGACTTTCATCCTTTCAGTACGGGGGGACACTTCCCTTGCAGACAAGAAGATCTGCAGAGCTGAATGTCAGGGAGGGCATCTACCAGAAAGTTCAATTTGCCTTGAAAATACCCCCGGGCCTGATTTAATGTGACCACAGAAGAAGGACAAGGTTTCCTGCATCTGATCTTCGTAGCCCGTGACAGCAAACCCCTCTGTCCTCACAAGGAACCAGCTACCCTCGGAGCAGTTCCAGTATTATGGAGCAGGACCGTGTTGTTAGCATAGTAATTACTTTCTGCCAAGCAATTAACATGTCTACCTGATACTTGGCTCATGCAGGTCTGTCAGCTGTGCCACTGATCTGCAGATTGGGTGGGACCTCGGTAATTATAGAGGATTACAATGATCAGTGACAGATAATTATGGAACAGCAGGCCACATTCCTCTCTGCGGTTGCCCCACTTAACCCTGACTGTGTTACACCACGGTTTGAGCGTGAAGCAAAGCTTCAGCCTCTGCATCCTGCAGTCTGCCTGGGAGGAAACACAGCTCTGCGGGTCAGGAGTTCATCAATTACGGCATCAACCACAGCTTAATGCCTGAGATACTCAGGGACCCATCCCTTAGGGATGTGGCCCTATTATTAGGGATATAGCCAATCTTCCACCTTCAGAAGGCTTCCCACAAGAAAGAGCGTCATTACAAAAATAGAGCAGACCGAGTTTAAGAGAAAGTTGAAACTTCAAGCGGTGTATTTCATCATTTGCAGGTGCTGCTGTAACAGTTAATGGCTTGCTCCTAACCAGATCATAGGTGTTTTCCCAGCCACACTTCATCCCACCTCCCACACCACGGCTGCACCAGAGGCTCAATTTCCAGCCGCTGGACCATCTGTGGGCTCAGGGAGGGCTTTTGGCTGTTCCTGAGACATGTGCCACTCAAGCAACTAATAAATCGCTTAAGGAAAAGGCAGGAGGAGCCAGCTGGATCTGGCCCATGAGCTGGCAATTAGACTATACCGGGTTGATGAATGACCAAAGAGAGGCTACTCCAGATTTACCCTTCTAAGGGATTATACAGAGAATAAAAACAGCTGTAGCACAAGCAATGCTACAGCCTGTTGGAGGGGTGTTGAATCTCCTGTCTGAGGACTTAATGCTACTCTCCAGCTAGCAAAGATCAGAGACTAGGAGAAGGAGCACATCAGCACATTTGTTTAACACTCCCAGTGCCAGAAGCAGGACAGCAGGATGATGATTTGTGCAGAACAGTTAATTCTCACAGAAGAGAAGGGGAGACATGTCTTAAAAGCATGGAATGCAGGGAGTACAGTTAATTCTCACATGTCTTAAAAGCATGGAATGCAGGGAGTAGGCTGAACACGCAGTGATGAAAGGAAGGGGAATTTCCTAAGGGGCTCAAAGGTCTGCTTTTCAAAGGTGCTGCCCATCTGCAAAGACCATTTGTGAAGCTGGGCAGTGGTTTTTCAGCCTCTGAGGAGTAGGAAGTGAAAGAATGGACGTTATGAGCAGCTGCTGAGTGCTTTGTGTTTTGATTTGGTTGGTTTTTTTTATTTAAACTCGGTCCATTCAGTGAGGAACCAGACCCTCAGCACATTTTCCCATCCCTGGCAGCCCGTGCAGCAGCAGCAGCAGCACTGGGGGGGTCCCAGCACTACCACAGCTGTATCAAACACCCAACACCCAGCAGGGTGAGGGAGGTGATTCTCCCCCTCTGCTCTGCTCTGGTGAGACCCCAGCTGGAGTACTGCGTCCAGCTCTGGAGCCCCCAACATAAGGACATAGACCTGTTGGAGCTGGTCCAGAGGAGGGCCATGAAAATGATGAGAGGGCTGGAGCACCTCTTCTATGAGGACAGGCTGGGAGAGTTGGGGTTGTTCAGCCTGGGGAAGAGAAGGCTCTGGGGAGACCTTATAGCGGCCTTTTGGTACCTAAAGGGGGCCTACAGGAAAGCTGGGGAGGGACTTTTTGCAAGAGCATGTAGTGATAGGACAAGGGGTAATGGCTTCAAACTGGAAGAGGAGAGATTTAGGTTAGATATCAGGAAGAAACTTTTCACTGTGAGGGTGGTGAGGCACTGGAACAGGTTGCCCAGAGAAGCTGTAGATGCCCCATCCCTGGAGGGGTTCAAGGCCAGGCTGGATGGGGCTTTGGGCAACCTGGTCTGGTGGGAGGTGTCCCTGCCCATGGCAGGGGGTTGGAACTGGATGGTCTTTAAGGTCCCTTCCAACCCAAACCATTCTATGATTCTATACGTGTCCTAACTACTCACAGCATAGTACCAATACAGCAGAGTCACACAAATAGTACATTGCCACCAAATTTGCCCTGAGGAGAGCTCTGCAGTTATTTAGGAAAGCCTATGATCAATAGTATTTATATGTAGGAGTGTATTTTCTTTGCCTACATTAGAAAATGGTATTAAGTAAGGTGCTGCTATAAATTCCCGAGCCCATCTGTATTACAGTGATGGTTTCCCATCTGTGAAACAGTGGAACCAGAAGAAGAAAACAGCTCTCCTGAAACCGCTGATGTCAGTAAGAGTGTTACTGATGAATTTGACAGAAAAACTGGGTAATATAATTTGCTGCTGCTTGTCATCAGCACTGCAGTCAACTTGTCAGTGTTACAGGTCTTGATTGTTCTTTTATTCCAACAGCAGAAGGATGTCATGAGGGTTTCCTAAACATAAAAAGGTTCAGATGAAGGAAATCTCTTAAAAAATATTTACAGTTCACTGAAAAAAGCTTGAAAGTGAAATTAATTTAGCCAAAACCACGTCCTCTTACTCACACACATACAAACTAATTAAATAAAACTGCTCATGAATGCTGGGCTTTGGGCAAAAGTTTTTATTTTTTATTATAAAAACAATGATAATTTGAAATACTGTAATATGTTGAAATAAAACATAATTACACAGACATCAAAAAGTTTGCAAGCAGATATAGAGAAAAAAGAAGAAATCTGGAGTCCACCAATTTTGTGAGCTTCTCTCTGTCTCCTTTATTATTCTTTTTTTTTTTTTTTTTGGATCACAGAGGTTATCTTTAATGCCAAACAAAGACCTTGGGCAACATCCTGGCTCCAATGAGGTCAATGAATGTTTTCCACTGGCTTCAGAGATAGCAGAACTTTACTCATTACCCACATACTCATTAACACATCTTCTAAATCCTTGAACTTGCCGTACTCGTTTCTCCAGTGAGGCCATGCGTTTTCTTGTTAGGCATCTGCTCCAAACCAGTTAGTTTCCAGATAAAAGCCCTTTGGTCTATTCAGTCAATTCATAAACTGCCTGTATGTCCCTTACACTGGGACACGAACACCGAGACGTGCAGATTCTAGACAGTGGGCTGCGAAGTGGCATCAGTTAAAGATGACCCCTCCCCTGTCTGAAACAATCCTGCTGTGCTAGATTTCAGGGCACGCTGTACAGGTGGTTACCCCCAAAACCCACAGCGCGAGAGAGCTGCCCTTTAACATATAGTAGCCGAGCTCCAAACACAAGTATGTTGCTGTGATTAAGTGCTTCTCTGAAGGAGACAGCTGCTCTGACAGCTGGGAAGCCACAGAGGAAGGCTCTCAGGTAAAAATGCTGAGCTGCAGGCAAGGCTCAGACAAGCCACCGTCGGGGACTGGCGGCTGCAACAGCGGGAGCACAGAGCACGTCTGGCTCCGTGATGCAAACAGAAGTGCTGGTGTAGCGGTATAAAGCCATTAACATCCCCGGTTAATCAGTGTCTGACGTGAAATTGAGTCTCAGCATCAGCCCAATGCCTAGGAACGTGCATATGTTTAACATGCATTAGTATCTCATGCAGTCTCCAAAGGCACAAAGTCAGATGCGAATGGAGATTTGACAATCATTATCTCGTCCATCTGGGCAGCCCTTCTAGGGTGGGTCAGGTGCAGGCACAGTCTCAGGACCGTCTAGGAAACCCTCACAGGTACCACCAGAGCTGCAGCTCCTCCAGGGATAAAGGCCTTCAGCTTTTAGTGGTGTCAGCTCAGCGCTATTTATAAACCACAGTATTCGATTGCAATGTATTCCCTCCTCCATGCTATAACCCCTCTGACAATAACAAATACACACTCTTTAATAAATATTAAAATGACATTTTTAAAAATTTCATTCACAGTATTTAAGTAACAAAATGATAAACTTCTAAACATCAGAGTAATAAAAGTGATTTCAAAAAGTTACTTCAGTCAACTCTAAGTACAAATGCAGCATGCTTTGGACATACAGACTTTAATCTTTAGCCCACCATGAAATCTGAGGAGAAAAAAAAAAAAGGTTTAGACCATCTTTCTAAATGAGTTTAAGATCTCCTCTTAGAAATTTTCCCTGGTGGAGCAAGCTAGCCTGATGTGAGGTGAGAAGTATAAATATGTCAAGGTATGAGGCAAAAGTCTGACTGTAGCAGCCAAGAACAATTTAAAAGATTTAGGAGGCTGGACAATGATCCGCGTTATTCTCCCTTTGTCTCTGAACAGTGCTTCCTTCTGGCCATTACTAGCCTGTGGAGGAGCACTGCTGCAAAAATGCCAGAGACCAGCTGGTGGACCCTTCGTGGAACCTAAGTACAATCACGGTCAGGTAGGTCCCGACTGCTTCTACACTGGCGTATAACACTACAAGATGACAAACAACATGACAGTGAAGAACTGAAAGGACTCGATGCAACTCAGTCAAAACCCATTCAACAGCTTTTAATCAAGGGCAGCAGTTTGTAATGAACAACCGCTCCGTTTCACCGCTCCCTCCTGTGCACAGCGTGCTCATTCTCTCCCCTCGCTCACACACTCACGCTCTCCGGCTCTCTCGCTGCTCCTCTCCTCCTCTTCCTCTTGCTGGGAGGTCTCCTAGAGCCTCTCTTGACTTTGGGCTCAGCGCGGCATGGCAGAAAGCAGAATCCTTGCAGCCCATGGGCACGTCTGCCCCGTTGGGTTGTTGCTCTGGCAGCTGCACAGATCCCTCAAGTCTCTTTCTTCATTTTCTTCCTCTTCCTCCTCTCCTTATTCCCAGGTACACCTGCCATACAAATAACAGGGGCCAGTGCACAAACCATCCACGTGCAATCGCGTCCCTGGAAACTGCTGGCTTTTCATAGAATCATAGAATGACCTAGGTTGGAAGGGACCTTTCAGGTCATCTAGTCCAACCACCGACCTAACACTGACAAAACCTATCACTAAACCATATCACTAAGCAGTACCTCTACCCGTCTTCTAAATACCTCCAGGGATGACGATTCCACCACTTCCCTAGGCAGCCTGCTCCAATGCTTAATAACCCTTTTGGTGTAGAAATTTTTCCTAATATCCAACCTGAACCTCTCCTGGCACAACTTGAGGCCATTTCCTCTTGTCCTATCACTGTTACTTGGGAGAAGAGACCGACCCCCACCTCTCTACACCCTCCTTTCAGGTAGTTGCAGAGAGCAATAAGGTCTCCCCTCAGCCTCCTTTTCTCCAGGCTGAATAACCCCAGCTCCCTCAGCCTCTCCTCATAAAATTTTTTCTCCAGACCCCTCACCAGCTTTGTTGCCCTTCTCTGAACACACTCCAGCACCTCAATGTCTTTCCTCAGTCTTTCACCTGAAGAAGGATTCTTTGGGGTTCTTAGATATGTTTTACAAGGGCCACCTACTTACGAGGGTAATCCAAAGTCACGGGGAGGGCTTTGGATGTTTTTGGTGGGCTCTGACTCACACATACATTTGCTTCTGTTTCACATTTAAAAGCACTGTGCAACAACTACTCCCACTAAACGTAATGGCAGTTTTCTCATTAACTCTGGCAAGGAACAGGAACAGGTATTTGTCACAGAAAAAAAAAGTACAACAGAGCCTCTCTAGGAATTAACATTTTCAGCTAAAGGAGAAGTGTTTTGCCCATTCATTTGAAAATGCATTTGTGAACGCTTCTTGGATTACCCATTTTTCTGAAACCAAAATTTATCAGATGTGCAAAAACAATCACTTACCATTATTGGATGAATTATTAGCAACATCCAGGGATTTTTTGAAGGAAGCACAGACCGCATCACTGCTATGTTTTGTAGATATCAAGTCCCTTGGGCCTTCTTCCATTCTTGTTTCCAAACCTTCCTGGGGCTTAATTGAAACAATATGCTTCACTAAGCATATAAGTTAAACAAAGCATATGCGAGTACAAAATATGAGAGAAAATGTCATTATTGGAGGGAATTAGGGCATTTAAAGAAACTGCACAACAAATTAGTTTTTAAATGGCTAGAATACTCTGGCATATCATCTACCTACCTCCTCCTTATTTGTTTTAGAAGGGATTAAAGTACTGAAAATGTCTTTCATTACCATCTTGCCCCTTGTTTTCCCCCAAGAATAGAACAGCAAGATACATTGAGGTGAAAGTACCATAATGGTATAGTGAGACTGAAGACTAAGATGTGCCCACCGTCCATAGAAATACTGGAGTAGCACAGGGAGCATGATGAGCAACTTTGTATATCTGCCTTCATAAGTAATTTCATTTTTTTATGTCCATCTCCAAAGGACAAGCTTCCACAGCAGCAGATACCAGCATTTGGGGCTGACATGCAGCACAAACTCCTTCTGGCCCATCATAAACATGCCAGAAGAAACAACGCCATCCTGAGGAATGTGAACAGCACTATTAAGATTATTCATTAAGGTACATACAAAGCTAAAGCAACTAATTGGATGTGCAAGAGAGAGAGTGGCCTGGCAGCACTCCAGTAACTGATGGGCTGTCCTAATGACCATGTGGATCGTGGTCAGTGAGTTAGTTAAAAACTTTTCCCTTAAAATGGGAGCATCAGGAGTTCAGGGAGCAAAATTGTCCCAAGGATCAGGAGAAACCACAGTGTGAGAGGAAGGCGAACAATACTACACAGCCATACGAGTCCAGAGCAACATATTCAGTGACGAGTGAGTGACAAACAATCAGGACATTTTGGGGTGTCCCCCTCCCATTTCTCATTTCACTCAGCAGCAAGGACATCACAGCCAAGGACTGGCCCAAAACCCAGTTATCACTCTGCTCCTTTGTGCTTCCCATCCCAAATGAGCTGACATCTTCCACAGCCTTTCTCTGTTGCACTGGGACATATTTATTTCAAGAAGCTTTTCACTGGTCTAACATCAGTCTCGCTGTAACTTCACTGGCTTTTGGGAACCACTTCTGCATTACTGTTAATATCTCCAGGTGACCTTCCACCACAGATAAAACACAGTCCAGTTGTGCAGTATACTTGGAGTGCATTTGACTGAGAAAGCATTGGGGTTTTTTCCACAATTAAAGCCATCTGCTCCTCTCTGCATTGCATAATTAAACTGTTTTGTAATTATGTTAGGGATACCCTGTTGCAAAAAAACAGTGGTCACTGTGCTCACCCTTCTTTTATAGGAGGGCAGAGAGAGAAGAGAAAAGAGAGAAGAGAGAAAAGAGAGAGAAGAGAGAAGATGAGAGAAGAGAAGGGAAGAGAAGAAGAAAAAAAAAGAAAGAAAAGCCCCCCCTTAGGTCACATCATCCTAATGGAGAAGAAATCCCCCTCTACTCTTGGAAAACCAGATGCTACTGGGAATACAAAATACTCACATGCCTGAGTCCAGCTCCACCCTTTTCTTCCATCACCTCAATTTTCTTCTTCTTCCTCTGCGTTTTGCTTTTCAATCCAGAAAGGCAGAAATGAATTCCTGCTTTGCTTTTTGGCAAATCCTGAGAACATCAGAGATTTTATGAGAGGAGCCCTGGGGTGGCTGATACATGTTTTTTTCAGGAAAACTGATTTCCTCCAGGAGTGTAGAAACAGGGCGTCTCTTTGGATAAGGTACACACCTCGGCTTAACACAGTGGTTTGCAAAAAGCTCAGCACACTCGTCCTGCTGCTGCCAAAGAAGGACATTTCCCTGGGCTTCTATGAAGCGTTTAAACAGCAAACTTTCTGCTTCTACCTCTCCACCAAAGCTACCACTGTATCACTATCGACAAACCTTCTCACTTAAATAAATACATCCCAGTTGGTAAGGTGGGAAGGCTGGTCTCAGCTGTGGACTCTACAGCTCTTTTAACCCCCAGGTATTCAGGAGGGTCAGCGGCAGCAGAAAGAGTTCATTAACACAGGGTGGCAAATACCCATGTTTGCTGCTCAGGACAGCAATGACATCCAGATGATGAACTCCCAGAACCAGCCAACTCGCCCAACCCATCGTTACATGTCCTGCAAGTGTGTCCCCTCTCGCCCAACCCATCCATCGTTACATGTCCTGCAAGTGTGTCCCCCAGCTCCAGCTATGTCAGACAGGTCACAGAATCACAGAATGATATGGGGTTGGAAGGGATATCTGGAAATCATCTAGTCAAATCCCCCTGCCATAGCAGGTCCACCTAGAGCAGGTTGCACAGGAACATGTCCAGGCGGGTTTGAATGTCTCCAGAGACAGAGACTCCAGCACCTCTCTGGGCAGCCTCTTCCAGTGCTCTGCCACCCTCACAGGAAAGGAGTTCCTCCTCATGTTTAGTCAAGTTTGTGCCCATTACCTCTTTGTCCTGTCATTGGGCACCACTGAAAAAAGACTGGCCCCATCCTCTTGACACCCGCCCCTTAAGCATTTATAGGCATTGATCAGATTACCTCTCAGTCTTCTCTTCTCCAGACTAAAAAGACCCAAGTCCCTCAGCCTTCCCTCATAAGAGAGATGTTCTAGGTCCCTAATCATCTTTACAGCCCTCTGCTGTACCCTTTTCAGCAGTTCCCTGTCCTCTGTCATGGTCAGGGGAGTGACCACACCAAGCGCCTTCTCCCAGCATAAGAAAGCCCCCATGACCAGAGCAGTCGGGCTCTAGGGCTGGACTGGACACCCTGGACTGGCTGAGACTGAGCCCAGTGGAGCAGATCTCCCTCCCTCAGTCACCGACGCCGCTGCCTCACCTTCACCTTCTCGTCCCCTGCCTGATGCTCCTCATGTCCTGTCCAGTTTCCCCACTCTTCCGTGGGAGCCTTCCAGTCAGAGTCTAGGTCAATCGCTGAAGGATCGTCTATTAGAACAAGCATAGGAATGAGTTATGTTCAGATCCATACTACTTCCCAGGGTCATGCTAGAAATGCAAACACTGCAAAGGGTATCTGTCATCTTCCTGGGTGTGCATGTATGCACATGCATCTTAAACACATTTAAAAGAAGTATACATTGACTGCTAATTCACAATTAGTGACTGCACTCTTCAGGACAGGAGGAAAACTAAAGAAGGGCAGAAAAACACATGCAGGAACAAAATCCCTTCCAGCCTGAGCTTCAGTGAAACAAGCTTTACAAAACTAATAGCATGGCTATTGTCAAACATTTTCTTTTAATTTCATGGAGAAGGATTCAGGCATATCCAGAAACACTGGCAGAGACAGCAGGCTCTTCCACTCACTGCAACACACCATCCCCAGGGCAATTATTTGTATGCAAGAGTAATATTAGCAAAGGATTTGTGCATTTGTTAATGCTCTCATTGGCTTTTCTTTCCTAAAAAAAACAGTATCGAGTGCATTCTTGACTTCGTCTTCCTCTTCCATTTTCTTTTCTTGAATGTAAGCCAGAAAGGCACCATCACAGCACAGATTTCCAAAGCTCCTTAACATGCAACTCTAAATATGCATGAAATAGATAACACCTACCCTGCATCGATTTGATCATTTCATGGGGGCTAGGCGGAAAACTTTTGAAAATCTTTTAGCTTTCTGTATGTGCCGGCATCTGGTACCTTTGAAAATCTGGCTGCAAGCCCTCAGCTGCCTCTCCACAAAGCACTGGCAAATGATCCACAGGCAAGAAGGCAAAACAGACCAGTCTAATTTCTTTGCCCAAACTGAATGAGGTGCAAAAAAAAGCAGATAAATCAGCATAAGATGTTGAAAGGACTACTTGATTATTTTCTAATGGTTTGAATGTAACAATCTTAAGTCTTATCCTAACAGGAAGAAAGACTTTCAAAACACAACATATAATAATAACTCTTAGCTGATCATGTCTCTTAAAATAAAAACAAATATAAAAAAATCCCAGGCTGGATGGAAAAACTTCTAGTTGAAGCAGGGCCAAACCCAAAAGCATGCTGGGGATGATAAAAGAAAACTGTTTCCAAAAAGCTCCTCTGTCCAGTTTGCTGCCAAATGTTATAAACATGATTATAAACATTGCTCAAGTTCTCAGTTTAAAATTCATGCCCTGTACATAGGCAGTATTCCTTTCCTTCTGCAAAAAGGACAGGAACAAGTATTGTCTAATGTATTCCCCCCCCCCCCCCCCAAAAAAAAAAAAAAATCCAGTCTAAGTATTTTAGGCAAATGAATGCATCTAGATTTGAGAGATGCAAAGTATACATGAATGACTTAGACGTCTGAAGAACAGTTTGTCTAAGCTGCAGCATGGGTTTACACCACCAAAAAGCTTCTCCTGCTTCTCCCTGGTTAGGTTAGAGGAGGGTCTGGTTCACAAATTCTGGAGAATTTAGCTGTTGTGGTTGAACCTGTGCTCTGCACCCCGTATCTGTGCCAGAAGGTACATCATGGTGAGGACACAGCAAGCGTCAGCAAAGACACACTCTGCCTCTGCACTAATATACCACAAGTGTGCCATGGCAGCAAAAAATACAGGCAAAACCATGCTGCTAGAGAGAAGGCAAATTCTGGCTACCAGGAGGGTACGCATCACGACGTAGGGACTGGTGAAATGGCACCAAGACTTCAGGAATGACAGTCCCTCCTGAGCTGCACGGCAGCAGCTCTGCCGGCGGATGCTCTTGTGGGTGGGCAAGCAGAACAGACTGTAACTTAAGGAAGGCACACGGGATGCCAAGACTATCTTTTTCACTTCCGATCTCTTAAACAGTATGTTTATGTACTTATTTTTAAGCATGAAAATAGTTTTAATGGCTGAATTCCTGCAATGGGCTGTCGCTCATGCTTCGCCCTCGTCGAAGGGTAGCACAAAGCTCAGCCAGGCAGGGGTGACTCCCTCATCTCAGAATTACTCTTCCCAAAGAATTATGTCATAGAGGTGTTTAAAATCAACTCAGAGTAAAATTAAGTGCAATATAAGATTCTTTACAATTTGCTGGATTTGATGGGAAAATAGGATTAAATGTACTTATCCTAGAGCTCTGGTTTAAAACCTCTCCTGTTGTGTAGCATGTTTCCCTTCCAGCCACACTGACATCTCCTGGAATGGCTTTAAACTGTGAATAACCTCTAATATTTTTAAATCAGCAGCTGGTCCTCTTTGGGTCACAACAACTTTTACAAGCTAAAACTGGAAGAAACCTAAGGGAGAGCAGCCCTTCACCTGGCCAGGCAAGATCCTCATGGACCGTGTATTGTCTATGCTGCTGAGTCCTTCTGTGGCTGCAAGGGCAGGTGGCCATGCAATGAGCATGGTCCTAACCCAAATCCTTGCTGAGCCCTCATTTGTAGACCAAGTGGAATCCATTCAGTGCAAATGGATAGACAATTTCCAGGCTAAAGCAAGGCATTAATGTGTTACAGGTCAACATTATTGCTGCCAACAGCTGGGTGTAGGAGTCCCACATTTAGCACCTTCCTCTAGCATAATTCAGTAGATGCAAAAATATCCAATAAATCCCAGACTGAAGGCTTCTTTTAATCCCAAGAAGCTGCTTATTCCCATGAAACAAAGGAATTAAAATTCATTTTAACCCCAGGAGAGAAGGAAGGATGGGAGTCATGAGACACGGGAGCCTACTGAAGGTTCCAGGAAAAATCTGCCTTGGCAATCAAGAAGGATTCATTGGGAAGACGCCAAGTCACAGGTAAAAAGGCAGCCCTGTTGGTCATGAGACATGCTGCATTTGCAAAGCAGAACGTGGGTCTTCTGAGACTGTGCTGTCGCCAGAACACAGGCCCACTGTGCTTTGAAGCAGAGACAGGGCATAAAATCTATATTTGTTCACCTTGGAACCAGACACAAGAGCACTGTGTGGGTTACACATTTGTAACAGCAAACCCAGCCAAAACCTATCGTGCATTTTGTGAAACAGGTAAGCGTAAGTACACAACGTGTCACCAAAGGGGCAGTGGCAGATGGGGGTTATAGTTGCACGAAGGCAGTGTTGGGAAACATGTACAAGCAGTAAAGCCATCAAGGTAGAGCACAGGAGGTAGAGCAGGCAGGAGATGTGTGCTGGCTCTAGAACAGCCCTGCAGAACACATGAGAAAGGTGCCTGGTGAAACCAGAGCAGCTCCTGGGCCCGAAGGTAAAGTGAACTATGCCAGAAGCACCAGAGGTTTTCTCTTTGTGGCAGGGCTGAAAAGCATGCAAACAATAGCAGTGAGCAGGGAAATGTGAGGATGAAAGGAGTTGCCCACTTTGGAGCCCCCTCCCCTCATGAGGGACTGCAGCCATCAGTTCTAACCGCGTGGCTTCAGCTCCGAGACACGGAATACCCCGAGCTAACGAAGGCTTAGCTTGTAAGAATTAATTGTTTGAATATGCAGAGACAATGAGTGATGACAGAATGAGAATTACAGAATCACTGAGGTTGGAAAGGGCCTCTGGAGATCGTCTCATCCCACCTCACTGCTCACAGCAGGCTCAGCTACAGCAGGTTGCTTAGTGGTGTGGCCATGGAGGGTTTCAATGTCTCCAAGGATGGAGACTTTGCAACCTCTCTGGGCAACCTTTTCTGCTGCCTGACCCCCTCACTATAAAAAATAACCCACCTTTTTTCTTGCGTATACACAGAATTTCCCATCCTTCACTTCATGCCCCGTTGTCTCTTGTCCACTCACTGGACAGACCAGAGCCCACCACCCCATCAGGTGTTCCTGCACGCAGGTGGACTCTGCTGGACCCACTCCAGTATGTCCACCCTGTACTGGGAAGCCCAGAAATGGGCACAGCACTCCAGACGTGACAATGGTTAAGAACTAACCATCGGCAACGTGCATCATTAATGAACGTCAACCAAGCAGTGCCTTGTTTTGAAACCAGCCTGACTTTATCAGTCTGTTCAACACTCCCATATCACAGTGACCACACAGCTCCCTCGCTGCTAACTCCCTCTCTCCCTCTATGTATAAATACTTTCAGTTGCGACAACACTTAAGCCTCAAGCCTTTTGTGAGTTAGGCTGTTATTATCACTGGTACTTCACGAGAAGATAATCCAATGGGGCACAGGAGCCGGCCAAAGCCACTCTACGAGCCAAGGCAGGGGCAGGAGTCTGGCGTCCAGCTCCTTCTTCTGCACCAGCCCATCGCGGAACAAAGAGACTCATTAAATGTACTGATCTGGATTTGATAAAATGACCCCAGCTCATATTCAGGTTATGAATGGCTTTTTTTTTTTTTTTTTTTTTTTTTTTTGCAGTTCACAGGCCTGCAAGAGCTAACAGGCCTTGTTTAACTGTCAAAGAGCTCATTTTGCCTGCAGCGCCGACCTTAGTGCCAACCATTACCTCATCTAAATTCAGGGAATACATGTTCGTGACACTCCCCTCTGCATCAATATCGAGGCTGATGATTCAAAGGGGAAAAAAAAACCTAAAAACTACTACTCTTAAGAAGCAAGCCGTAAGGCAGGCAGAAATCCTTCCATTTCTGCTTTCAATCAAAACGCATCTGCTCCGAGGTTTGCCAGAGCAAGCTGCTGAGTTTGCTCCTATCTGCTCTGCTCTCGGACAGTCGTGGCGTGGAAAAAAGAAAGAGGAGCTCTGCCTGGCTCTGCAACTGCGGATCAAATCCAGAGTGTGCCAGGCGTGACATGAGCTAGGTGGAAGGCGAGGAAACACTGATGAAGAGCTGCCTCCCCCCTTCCCGCCCCGGCAAGCCTGGGCTCAGGAGTTACGAAGGGCCAGCAGCAACGTGGGGGTAAACAAACACAGCACTAAGGGAGAGGAATGCTTGGGGATGGGGTGGTTTTATTTTCTTTTTTTTTTCCCTTTTTTTTTTAAAAAAAAAAAGAAAGCAAACTGTGCTATTTATAAAATCCTCTGATGGTCAAGCCAACGCGCCCGCTGCAGTCGCAGTTACCGCTGGGCAGAGAAGCAAGACGACCGCAGTCTCTCCTCCTCCATGCATTCAACCACCCTGGGTTCTCCTGCAGTTAAGGCAATCAGAGCAGCTAGAGCAGGAAGGGGTCTGCTTGGCTCGTCGGCCATCGTTCCTGCAAGAGCAGGGTAGGGCCTCCCAACAACAGGGGTATAAATAGATGTTTCACTCGATCCTGACCAAAAGGTCAAGAGAAAAGGCCACCTAATACCCACACTGTTCATGCCAACTCGTTCCAGCCGCTCAGGACCCACACTGCCCTTTCAAGCAGATTTTAAAAGTAAAAAAAACCTTGCTATTACCAGTCATAAAAAGCCTGAAATCCTGATTGCCACTGTCCACTGGGGCTGGATTCTGAATCTGGGTAGTAGAGAGGAAATTACAACTTCTGGCAAACGTAAACCCGTTGCTGTAGCAGCGCCCCGTCCTCCCTGCGGCTCTTCCCCAGCCACCCCACCGAGCCCCCACCAGGCTGGGGACTGCCTGGAGAGGGGCCACCCAGCTCCACCTTCCCCACCCAGCCATGGGAGGGAGGGAAACACAAGGCTTCAGTTATGAAAAACCAACCCCAACTTTGAATTCGTTTTGCAAATTTAGTAATCTGAGATGATTGCTAACACGTGGGACCAGGCTTTTGTTGGTTTTTTTTTTTTTTTTTGAAGCACAGAGCCCGTATTGTTGCCTCTGGCTCAGGATGTCCCTTACCTACGCTCCGCTGGGTGTGGGGAGGGATCGCCCTGTGCTCGCCCTGTTCCTCTGCTCATCTGCCAGCAGCTGCTGGAGAGAGGACACGGGGCGATGGGAGCCTTCAGACAGCCTCCCTGCAGCTGGCCTGGCTGCCCAGAGGCTTTAGTTATACTTTGCACAGCAGGATGCATGCATCGAGCAAGGCAGAACCACAGAACCTTCATGGTTGGAAGGGACCTTTGAGATCAACGAGTCCAACCACTAAAAAAACCAAAACAACAACAACAACAAATACCAAAGAAACAGACACAAACCAACAATCCCGGGCACTAGAGCATGCCCTGAAGCGCCACGTCTACACGTTTCTTAAATACCTCTAGGGATGGTGACTCCACCACCTCCCTGGGCAGGCTGTTCCAGTGCCTGACCACTCTCTCAGTAAAATAATTCTTCCTGGTATCTAATCTAAACCTCCCCTGCCGCAACTTCAGACCATTTCCTCTGATCCTGTCATTATTCCTTTGGGAGAAGAGGCCAACCCCCGCCTCTCTACAACCTCCTTTCAGGTAGTTGTAGAGGGCAATGAGGTCTCCCCTCAGCCTCCTCTTCTCCAAACTAAACACGCCCAGTTCCCTCAGCCTCTCCTCGTATGACTTGTTCTCCAGACCCCTCACCAGCTTGGTGGCTCTCCTCTGGACACGCTCCAGCAGCTCAATGTCCTTCCTGTAGTGAGGGGCCCAGAACTGAACACAGCACTCAAGGTGAGGTCTCACCAGTGCCCAGTACAGAGGCACCATCATTGCCCTACTCCTGCTGGCCACACTATTCCTGATACAAGCCAGACTGTACCCACCGCATCCCCTTTTTGTCGCCTTCTGAGTAAAAACACCCTTCTCCATGGTCCCATGCAGGGTGCCTGCCCAAAACCAGACCCAAATTGAATTCCTCCCTTACCTCTTGCCATCCTTGTGCCAGGTGGGAAGTTTGGGGCTGATTTTTGGGGCTTAGAAAATGGACTGGAAAGGGTATCAGTGTTAGTACACTCGTCTTTCCACAGAAAATGAGGGAAGAGACATACCCTGCCCTTGCCACGCATCGTCTGTGGGGAGGAAAGTCGAGCTGGTGTGCCAACAGCATCTGGAAGGACTGTCTTCGGACGATTTACTCTTCATCTTATCTGCATACAGGAAAAGCATCTTTTTAAAAATAAAAACAAAACATAAAAAAACCAACCCCAAAACCTAAAAGATAATCACATAGGTATAGTCACATTACTAAAACCAATTAATCATGCCTTTATCTGCTCACTATGTCATGAAGCCTGGACGTTATGTAATTTAAGCCACACATTAATCTACGCTGCTCATCACTGTGGATTTATTAATGAAGGCTGGATGAGGACACTACACCCGTAAGTTATTAAAAACAACCCACTCAGGAGTGGCTACACTAGCAATATTCAGAGTTGTAAACTTCCAACACATCTCTGTTGGGGATGTGTAGTTCCTGAGGAACAAAAGCCACGACCAGTGTATCCAGCTCCCACTGACTTCAGGGAAAAGCTGCTGCTCATTCTAACAGAAATCCATAATTGCTCCAAGAAAGAGCACAGATGAGAGCAAACTGCTGGAGGAAAAAGAAGAGTTAAAGTTTTTCTGATTATTATTTTTAATAACTAAAGCAACCAATAGGATTCACCTGCCTTCTTGAGTGACTCCCATCAGCCCCTTTTAATGCCTGTACATCCAGTCTTTTCTTCATTTCTTTCATGCACAACAGATTTTTTTTTTCATATCTCTGATTTTACTTACTTCCTTCCTTCCTTTTGCCTAAAGGACTCCTTCATATGCAGTTTTGTCCTCTATCAGCCTGATTTTTTGTGGCATAAATGCAGATGTTAACAAATATTTCTCCCTGTATTTGTACATTAGGAACTGCCTCAATCCACTGACACAGTGTTGGAAAATAGATGATAAATATGGCATCTATTATATTGACTACCATGTCTGGCTTTAGAAGCGAATGTCAGCATTCTGGCTTACACTGCACGTGCTGTTCTGTGCATGGATGTCTATCTCTATGTACCTATGCTTGCCTGCAGCATCTCTAAAAGATTCAGCACCACGCTTTGCATTCATCAGCCAGTTGGACCTGCAGAAAAATTTGAGTTTCTGGTAGACAGAGAGTGTATGAACAAGGAGCACTCAGAGCCAGGCAGTGAGAAGGACCGAGAGTGGCAGAGAGGTGAAAGTGAAAGCCAGAAATGAGGCTCAAGATTAATGCAAAACCAGAAGTTGCTCCATCCTTCTCAAGGCCATGCATGGAGAGGCTTAAGCTGCAAATCCCTCACTCTGCTGGAGAGGAAGCTGCTGGCTAGGCAGCCTCGAGCAGGGCCTCTCCAACCTGGGCGTTTGCTCCCTCCCTCGGTCTGAAATTCCCTGAATTTGTTGGTCATCAGAACACAACAGAAACCTTCTGTGCGAGTAAATATAACAGGAAAAGAATTTGCTGGGGAGGCAATTTTTTTTTTTTTTTATTTATTCCAAGATGAGACACCAGTTTGGAAAGCGCTCAATAAAACATTCTGATGTCACTCCTTAAAATGCTGGTAGCACTGGACTGCAGATGTGAGCAAGCTCTACAAGGGAGAGTGACTAATGAAATGTGGCTCTAAGGGAAAAGACCCATATGTAAGCAATGAGAGTACTTCTAAGCCAAGCATCGAGGAAAGCAATAGAAGAATTCAGATAAAAAGTCCAAAGAGACACCACTCACCTAACTCCCTGGACAGCTCTGATAAAGTCCCAAAGGTCACAGGACAGGATTTTACTTCCGCAATATCCCATGTTCCTGCATTTCAAAAGCAAACAAACAGTAACCCGAAATGTCATGTCACATTCACAGCTGGCGACTGCAGTTTCTACCTGGCACTCCCAATCTCATTATAGCCCTTCCATGTTCTCTCCATCCCAAGCCTGCAGCCACTGCTGCTCCTGAAGAAGAATCAAGGGAGGAGAAATTATCTTGCCAGACAAGAGAGCCCAGCCCAGTTGCCATCTACACCCTCTCAGCCCTTCAAAGTGCACGTCACACCAGCAAGTCCTTCTCTGGACTTCATCAAATTCTCACTCATCTGGACTGATGTCCTCTGTATGCACAACTGGCAGAAGTTGTCATCACGTATCAGCTTGGAATCTGGCCTTTTGAAAGCATGAGAGTAAAAAATGGTACTAACGTCCTCCCGTCATCAACCCTGCACTTTGCTGAAAAAGGGCTCTAGCAGAGAAAGCCACTCGTGTAAAGGGCAACCTAAGACCATTTTCTGTATCACCACAGTACTGGATCACTGCTACTGAAGGTGAGTCATCATACAGCCTTATATACCAGTCAATCCAGCCATCAAGCTTGATTAATCAGTGCGCTCGTATTGAAAATCAAATGCTTCTGAAAATCCACCAAAAAGCAGTATTAAACACTTTAACTTTTAACTCATAACTCACCAAAGCTTCATCAAGAAGTCAGGAAGAGAGATATAAAGAAAGATATAAAGGTCCAATTACTACCTAGTTCTTAATTATTGGTGTTGCTCTAGAATCTACAGTATCACCCACAATAGAAATACAACATGAGGCATTGCCACAAAAATTAGACTATGATGGAAATGAAAAGTCATCAAATACCAGTGAGAGAGCTGATATCAGTGTCTCCTGATCTTTAGCCTAATGGCCCAGCAGTCCAGCCCTTCTCTGCTTTAAAGGTGTCTGAGGTTTTAGAGATGCATTTTCCCACCTCCAGCTTATGTTACACAGAGAATGTCCCAACAGCCCAGCTGGGACCCAAAGTAGCTCTAAATGACCTTGTGGAGACCCACAAGGGGTGGATCAACCGGGAAGGTGGGCAAACCATGTAGGTACAGCACAGCACTGACATGAACAGACTGCTTCCCACTGTTAAATACCCCAACTGATTTAGGAATACCCTGCCTCATACTGCTTTGAAACACACAGACACACCCCGAAGCCCAACTCTGACCGTACATGAGCATCCTCGGAGGGAAAGGCTTTGGTTCCTTTGCAGAGGAACCAGACACTGAATATCTGTGGGTATTTAACATGCACCCAATGGGTAGTCTGCAACACAGAAGAAATTCCTGCCGCAGAGACCCCTCTTGTCACATTGTGGAAAATAAATGAAGCTAGCAGGGTTCAAAGGGGGTGGACAACACTGTGTGTGTGCAGGGTGAGTGTTGGTGGGGCAGTACTGTCCTGCACACAGAAATTCATGAAGCTTTCCCTCTGCAATGTTTGAATGTCAGCACTCACCTACATTGGAGAAAACATCCTCCTCTGATGGGGAGGACACTGATTCTTCCCGTATGGCTCCTGAGGCCTTCAGCATGGTCCCACACTCTGCCTTGGCAATGAGAGCACCTTTTCCACTGCCACTGATGTCCTCTGTGAGTGGCCACACCGCTCCCTTCTCATCCCAGTCAAAGGCTGGTTCAGCCGCCGAGCTACCCAGGGATGCTCTGCTGAGGTCTTCTTGAGAATAAACATTATCACAGAGTCATCATTATTTTTAATTACAAGGAAGAGTTTGTACAAGGTAAACAACAGAGCAAAGGCTGATCTAAACCCATCAGATGTAATGACTATATTCCAACTGAAATTATTTACAATACAATGTCAGTAAAGCAGAGCCTGGGATGGGAGACTGGAGCAGCAAACGTGAAGGCCATCTGAGAAGGAAGGCACCACACAGTCCAGCAATGAATCCCACTGGAGATGACGCAGCACCGCAGAGGCCTTGGCATCCCTCCTTGACTGCAAGGGCGGCTCAAGGCCTCCAGAGTCCAGCTGGGGACCCAGAGCAGTAAAGGGAGGGAAAGAGAACAGCAGGACCTCCAAGGAAAAAGAAAGCAAACCTCCTGGATGTTGGTAGTTCAAGGCTGCTAGAGAAATCAATGCCAAGCATTTGGATGTTATAAATAATTACAATTATTTCCAACATCTTCTCTTCTTAAGGACTCCCAAAGCATATTAGGACTCCATTTTCCTGTGACTGATGGGAAGGGGACCATTTCTGGCATCAACCCCACCTTCGCACACCTTAATGCTGCTGCTGCTGGTGCTTTCCTGCCAGAAAACAGCAATCAGCACTCAGCAGGGTTAAGGCTTCTTCCTGGAAGCGCACATTTCACTGCTCTGTAAGTGTCCATACTAAACAGGACCACCATGATCACCTGCTTGAACCTCCTGCACAACCCAGGCTCCAGGACTGCACCAAGGACTTCTGCTGCTTCAGCTGGGACTTTGCTGAGCTCCCTCTCCCAGGGCCAGCAAAGCACTTAATGCCGGCATGGAGTAGTGTTAAACCATGCGTGGCTAACCTTCTGCAGATGCAGCTGGCATCACTGATGCCACCAGGCCAACTTACATGAATAAAGCTAAATGTGGACCCATCTACTCTGTTGCAGAGCAAGTAGAGACCTCAGTACCTTAAGTCCTTAGAGATTGTCATACAGCTATTTAACTCTTGATTTATCGAATCAAAATGATAGAAAAAGTGGTCCCAAAACGTTTGTAAATTTTTATATTAAAATTTGCTTTTCACTTACTCTCCAATTTTAGTAGAGCATCTGAGAGCACTTTAAGACAGTGCAGACAGTGCACAAACACCCACATTCATCCAGCTGAGTCTCCCAATCCCATCTTAGCTTCTAAATTACTCCAATATATTAAACTTACAGGTTTGTCTATTGTATTAATAATTTTATCACAGATAATTGAAATGTTTCCAAATGCCGTAATTCCATGACCTGCTTTCATACAGCAGTTATAATAACATAATTAGTAGAAATGTGTATAGGCCTAAGCGCATGGCAGACACTTTGAAATCTCCAGAGGAAAAATGTGGAGTTAGGATAAAGCATTGTTTCATTTTACCTCATTAGTCCAAGAGTATATCCCTCCCTTTATAGCTTTCTACACTGGGCAAGCCTGTATTAAAGAACCTGTTTGCAACTGAGCAAATTACACAGGTTTTTATACATCCATTATCAGAAAACCTCTTCTGTCAAGTCACGCAAAAATAACTAATCCACATTACACCAAACTTCTAGCAGATCTCAGACCTTCTAGCAGGTCCCAGATCTCTAGACATTTGCTGTCGAAGTCCTATGGGCAATACTATGTATTTCAATGAAAGCCTGGAGTAAAAGGCAAGTAAGAGCTCCCAAGGCTGTCTTTTCTTAAGCAAATAAGCCTAAGTAAGCACAAAGATTTTATTGCTGAATGACAAATGAAGCAAACAGAAAGATGCTGGGAAGTGAGAAGGGGTGTCAAGCCCAGCCAGAACAGGTGTGTAAACTCAGCCTGTACTTTTACCTTTTTGTTTCAGCCTTTCCTTCCTTAAGTGTCTCTTTTCTCGGCTGCTGATCTTGGTCTGCCAAACTCCTACAACAGAGAGGAAAGTTAATTTTTAAGCTAACAAGAAACTTCCTTTACTGCTTTTATTGCTTAGCACCGGGGTAAACAGCTATCTGATGCTGGCTGTAGAAGTGGAACCGTGCAGCATCTCCCCATGTGCAGCCTTTGTTGTCTCTGCAGAAACACCGTACATAAGAAATCCCCGTCACAAACGTGTCTATCATGTGTCCTGACTCATGTAACTGCACATATGCTTCTGTCCTTTGTGTCAGCCTGGTGTGATACCCCTTTCCCTCACAACAGATTATCAACCGCCTTGTACATCTGACAGCAGAAAGAAGTTCATGAAAGTCTTAACTGTCAAACAAGGCTTCAATTTACCGGCTTCCTCTAGCCCTGAACATATCCTAAGATGTGTTCAGCGATGTGGAGACCCTCTGATTTCCACACACTTTCATTCACACCAACGGGGCCACTTTCTGCCTCCCATCCCTCTTCTCCATCACCCCAGAAGACAGGGGAGGGATTGACACAAACGGTTAATAAATTAAAAAACACAGTCCGTGGATTTTGCTTGAGACAAACACCTTCTTTTTCTGAACCATCCCCGAATAATGTGTGAAACAGTTCAGCTGGCTCATCTGTTCAAAAACACTAAACATTCGTTTGGAGAAAACCTCTGCTGTTTGCCCTTCTCCTGCAGCAGGCACTCTGCTCCTCACACAAGGGCCCGCAGGAGGACTCCAGTCCAACAGCAGCGAGGGCTTCTCTTGCTCTCACTGCCACACTAATCACATTATAATCTTTTAAGCCCGGAAAAGCTTAGAATTTGTTGTTTTCAATATGACCCTTGGTGGGGGGAGGCGGAGAGGGGCTCATGGGATGCGACGGATTTTCCAATGAAATTCTAGCTGCCCGAGACTTGCTAGCCTCTGCCAGATTTCTCTGCAGACTTGCTTATAGCCAAAAGGTCTTGGCTCTGTTCAGGGACGTGCTAGAAATTGGATGTATGTTACCCCAGTGTATTTACCAGCCTCAGCCATGGGCACAAGAAAACGCTGCCTGGGAAGACAGGCCACAGGGCGAGAGGAAGACCATGAAGATAGGACCCTGGTACCCTGTGGACCTCTGGCCTCTTCAAAGATCCTTCCTCATCTGCAGATTTGCCATCCCTGTGAATGCAGTAAGGACCTGAGAAGTGCGGCAGGAAAGCACACAGTCCCTGTCTGTGTCATTACACGTAGTAAAGAGCAGATGATGGAAAAAAACTCTCAAACTGGCAATTTTTCCCATTAACACAGGAGTAGAACAGTAGAGAAGACCTCCCTTTTGAAATATTTTATAACATGTTTTCATTTGGTAAGAGAAAAAAACAGATCTTTTATTACCTTCCTCCTCCTGCAGTTTGTCTTTTTGCACAGAAAGGTCTTTCAGCACCTCCTTGTCTGAGCACTGGGCTTTCCTCTTCTTCTTAGGCTACAGTATACAGGAGATACGTGGCAGAAAGATAAAACAGGTATTTGTTACATGTCATCATGAAGAAAAAAAGAGTCAGGGCAAGAGATCTGAACCAGAGACCACACAGTGGTACTCGGAGAGAGCAGTAGGTCACTCGAGTCTTTAAGTGGGTGCAAAAGTCTTCCTGAGCAGATTTTATTGCAAACTCCAAACCGATGAATGCTATAGCTTTCAGCCTACAAATTTGACTTATCTGCTAGGCTAGAAAGCTCACACTTTAATTCAGGCACCTGCTATACAGGAAGATTTTCACTCATCATTCCCAAGTCTTAATTTTTTTCCAATAAACAAGGAAAACCTAAAATTATTTACCCCCTTTAAAATCAGCTATGCTAAAACCAACAGTTAGAACTTAACCAAAAAGCCCCACAGAACAGCCTTTTGTTAATGAAGATATCTATAGTTTACACTAACCTGAAATGGCACAGCAGTGACCGAAGCCATTTTCATATGGTTTGATTAAAGAGTAGAGTTAACCTTACGCCTTCAATTTTGAATGTTCTAGTTTTAACACAGCAGTTCTTGACTTTTCCAAGGCAGGATACCCCTGCCAGGAACACACTTCCGTGCCCAGGCTGGGTGGTTGCTCCTCATTTGGAAGTGTCCATAAAGCACAGACAACTTTACTCCACACCAGCACCAATGCTCGAAGCCCAAGAGAAAACCCTTACCCAAACCCAAGGAAATGTCCCATGTCAGAGCTGGAAGTGAAATACAGGAGATTCCAGCTCCCACTTCTAGGCTTCACCCTAGACCGTCCCACTTGTGGTGGCAGTGACAAGCACCACAGTGTGACTGTGCCAGGGTCACTCAGTCTTATGTTCTTAAGTCATCTCTTAAGTGCTCCAACAACAGGAACCGCGAATTATCTTTAAAAAGGACTATGAAATAAGGAACATGCTTAAAACAAGTGTGTCTTGAAAGGTAATAATAGTAATAACAAACTCTAAAACTCTTACTGGTACCTTGAGGAGCTTTTTCTCTCTGATGTTGGCTGGTGTTATAAGCTGGCCATTCACTGGAACCTAGGAGATGGACAGTAAAAAAAGCATTATGGAATATATGTGCATCTGTCTGCATGTGTAAAAATATATATGTATGCATAGAATTACTTTGATACATTCTTATAATACATATGATGGGCTAAAAGACACAACTAAATAACACCCAGTACAAATCTGGGCTAGAATTTATGGCCTTGTTCCAATTTGAGTTAATTTATTCCATATTAATTAGTGTTAGCTAAGCCGTTATGAATGTAAATCCAGAAACTCCACATAGATTTATTCCAAAGCAGACATATTTGTGGTTTATCCTAAGATTTGTCTAGGATCAAAGTTGTTTTTCAAATAGGGTAAGCCTGTCTTAAAAAAACAGCATAGACAGGAGAAGGCTTATTTTAATTCTTGTTTACTGGTTGGGGTGGACCTTATGTTCCCCCTCAAGTGTATCTGACCAACTAAAAGCGCAGCTTTCATCCTACTGAGATCCTGTAAAGTAAACCATGAAACTTTAAGGACTTTTCAAGTTACAGTTTGATTAATGTCTCAGCTATCTCAAAATGCACTGGCAATGGCCAACCTCCAGCTACAGGGGTGAGAGAGTGTAAATCTGCAGCTGGGACAGCAGGGGCTGGGACCTGGGATCCAAGAGAAGGCAGACCCCCCTTCCACAGGTGACTCTCTGTCCCCCGACACTCACAGGAGCATGTTGCTGAATGTACAGCACCCCTCTCCCTCACCCAGGTTGTCCTCCTTGTGCAATGCAACCCCCCCACCCAATGCTGCCCAGGTTTCCTTCAGTCCCATCAGACCTTGAACCCAAAGCTTACAGTAGGGAGCCCGACCCAGGCTGTCACCGTCCTCCCTGATCCATCCCCCACCTCTGTCTGGAGCGAGGGGTGACAGTGAGCTAGGGAGATGCCTGGCAGGAGCAGACAGCCCTGCAGGGAGCAAAACCCCCGGCTGCAGCCCAGAGCTGTCCCCTTGGCATCAGGAGACAGTGGGCACCCTTGCACAAGCTGGTGAAGAAGGGGCGTCAGGTGCCCACAAGGGAAGGCAGCTGATGCTACCCACCCTCCACTGCTCCTCCCCACCCTCACAAGTCATCTCTGTCCCCAGAGACACCACAGATGACCTTTGGAGGTCCCTTCCAGCATGGATCATTCTATGGTTCACGCTGGAAGGTGATGCAGCTGCAGAGGAGCGGTACCCGCTCTGTGCCATCACAGATGCCGATGCAGGGCTGAAGAGCAGCACGTGCAATTAATGAAACAGAGAGATAGAAATCAGCACGCTCCACAAAACACTGTGGCAAATCAGGAAAGCTAAAATCTGGGGGGCGGTAATTAAAAAAAAGGCTGATTGGGTGGCTGCATCCCTTTGGGCAGCGGGGATGTGACCCCACATGTGAGAAGCAAAGACTCAGAGCCACCTTGCGATGGGCAAGACTACAGCTCTCACATGGGGACTTAAGAAAACTTTTTTCCACAGAGCAACAAGCTTTTTGTGTTCTCCCCAAGGCACTCCAAGATATTGACAGGACTTGAAGCAGCTTATTCCAAGAGAGGAACCAGAGAGATCTCTTAGACATCAAAAAAAATAGAAAAATCTCTGCTGAGGTTTGCAATTATTAGTTACCAGCTAATAAAATCCTGTTGATGATTGCCCTTGCCTGTCCTCAGGAAACCAAGCGGAGCTGCAGTCCTTCAACCTGTTAATGCTTAGTTCTTTGGTATTTTTAAGACATTTTAGAGGTATTTTTCACAAGTCTCAGAAAGGTCTGATTTGATGTGCATGTTAAAGACAGCTGTACAGGCATCTGGACACTGGCAAATGCATTGCCCGTGGAGGCACTTGCTTGGAAACCCAGACCAGTTACAAACTGGTGGTATTCTGGGGTGTAGCATGGACCCAGCAGACTGGTGTTCAACTGAGCCCCCACCGTTATTCTGAGGAGGAGCCCCATGAATTGCAGACTTTGCAACATACCACTCTCTGAACACAAGAAAAACACCAATTCTGGGTCTTGCAGTAAAAAACCACAGAAACAGAAGCCAAAATACCTGCCTAATTACATCAGTAATTCCACCAGTTTCAAATTATAAGCTTAAACCAAGCGGTCCACATCTCCTTTGTCTCCCTTAGCTGTCGTTTGGTATGTTTACAACTTTATAATTTAAAATTATATTCTCCTGAAGGTTCACTAGCAAAATAATGACTTCTGTGTTAAAATCCAGCAACGTTTTGTAATAGTTAACAAGTTTGTTTTTTCCCACAGGCAATCATCCCTCTTCTGAGACTCTCAGGTTCATTTACTGGAGGCAGTCCATAAACCCCACCACAGAACAGACCGTTTTCCATATCCTGCTCTGTTCAAGAGAAAAAATCCCACTGTGCCTGCAGCAGGGAGGGAAGCAGCCTCTCACATAGGGTGGGAGACATAAAATACAAAATCAGGGGAGTTTTGGTGAAAATTTGAACCACTTAGTTTGGGAAAATCTTGAGCTTTCTCAGCATATGCTTCTGTCCAATTAAAATTGGGAAAATCTTGAGCTTACATGAGTCTGTCTTTCTCAGCATATGCTTCTGTCCAATTAAACGTGTGAACATTTAATTGCATTCTTAGTGAACAATTCCTACGCAATATAAAATGGGGGTGGGGGTGGTTTTTCACTATATGACACACAACTTCAAGAAAACTGAATTTTATGGCATGACACAAAGGGATAGCTGGGGAAAAACGTGTGAACATTTAATTGCATTCTTAGTGAACAATTCCTACGCAATATAAAATGGGGGTGGGGGTGGTTTTTCACTATATGACACACAACTTCAGGAAAACTGAATGGCATGACACAAAGGGATAGCTGGGGAAAGCCACATAACGAGTAAATGCAATATTCCTTTCTAATCTCACCAGAGCCTGGTGATTTCCCAGTTCTCATCATGAGATCTTCAACCTTTTCTAAAGGCTTTGCAAATGAGCCTCCCAAATTAAGGCACGTTAAGCAAGACTGCCACCATCAGCAACAGAAAGAGCAGCACCGACTCAGGAAGTGAGGAGGAGGATGCCTTTTTGCGTCTTTCAGACACACACAGAGGATAAGAGACATCCCACCTCCTGTTAGCCTCTCTTTACATGAAGATGCTTCTGCAAGCGTGCAGGACTACATGCAGAGTGATGACAAGAGGTGTCAAGATTCAGGACATGGCCACGGTCTTCCTCCTCCAGGCTGCCATAAGCGAGCACAGCCCGAGGTGGAACAGAGCCCTCACAGGGGCAGGGAAAACTCCAGAGGGAAAAATGTTGAGTGCAACAGAGAATTAGGGAAGATGGAAACTATATTGGCTCTGACAGACTGGTCTCAGCTGGGGCAGGATCATGTTCCTAGACCTTCTTTTCATATAAACGAGAGCATGCAAGAGGCTGGAAAAACTGCAGCACTTTGTTTTAATGCTTTGCCAATCTGGCTGCTGTATACTTTTACCAGACAAGCACAACATTTCCTACTTAAATGCTATTTCATCTGCTAGGTATATATCCCTCTCTCTCTCCATCGCTAAGAGGTTAAAAATATACTGTTGACAGTCATTTACTACATCCCAAGGGTCTTCCTGCTGACTGACTGACCTGCTATTGAGCCCTAAATACCCACCTGGGACTCCTGAGCCTCGCTGCATCCTTCCCTGCGAGCAGCTGAGTGCAAGAAAGACACCAAACCTGACCCCTGACTGACAATCACCAAACAGCCCACCACTCCATCACCAAACAGCCCACCACTCCATCACCAAACAGCCCACCACTCGGGTGATGCTCTTCTTTCAAACCTGAAGTATCCGTTGCTTCTCCGCCATCCTTCAGTAACAGCAGCAACTCCCTTCCTTTCATCGCCAAGTAGAGTTCAACTTCCTTTTGGTGGAAAGGTATTATTCTAGCCTGACCTTTTGTATTAAATCCTGCCTTTATCCAGCCCCTTTTCAGGCAATAATCCAGCTGAGGAACCCCACCCTACCCTATTCTTCCCTTGCAGAAGCCTTTAGGACACGGGATTAGTCATGCCTCTTTATCATGCTGTTTGGCCATTCTGAAAGAGAAAAAGGAATTTTCATTATTTTTATTGTGCTTAACCTAATGGACTCATTAAAGAGAAATGAATTTTGTCAGGGTAATTTTTTTCTTAATAAAAAATGTAGTTTTGTACGGGGAGAACATGTCTAAACCCACCGCATTAAGTGACTGTATAAAGTCATCAGTGCAATTCCAAATACATTAAATATATGCAGAGAAAAAGAATCTGGACTTTTAGTGGAATCAGACTTAGCATATTAATTTCTACTCACATTCTGTGGAACAATAGAAAGATTATTTTTAGTTCATGGCCATTTGGTTTGTTGTGACCCAGTGGAACAGGTAGTGGAATTTAGTGGAATTAGCATATTAATTTCTACTCACATTCTGTGGAACAATAGAAAGATTATTTTTAGTTCATGGCCATTTGGTTTGTTGTGACCCAGTGGAACAGGATTTCCCCCCCACCTCCTGCCTTTTTTTCCCTTTTATGTAACCTAATGTTATATTTCTGATGATTGCTCTGAAACCTTTCTGCTCTTGAGCTAGCATTTAATTTATTTTACACTGTTAATATAGTTCTACATAAAGTCACAAAGAAAGAAGGCAAAGTGATAGGTCTTCAGGTGTTAAAAAATACTGGGTTTAATTATTAATATATAATTATTCAAAGTCATAAAACTGTAACCCTAGACACTTATCTTTATGCATTTTACTAGTGTCATAAGACCAGTCATTTTTACAAAACTAAACACCTTAGTAAGTGTCTATCAGGCCAGGAAGTCTGCTTTCAAATCTCAGTGTCTCCAACTGGTTACAGAATTAATTAAAAATTATGTGAACATTAGCTTCAGGTTCACTAACTGCCCTTTGTCCCACTTGGGGAAGGTGCTTAAAATTGCCTTCCTTAAGAAGGCATGCAAACGTTTCCCCAGCAGAGGGATACGAGGACAAAATAAACTCAGCATATGAAACCCGAGGGGACCTATTATATGCTTCACACACTGGAAATCAGGGAATTCATTTAGGAACATGAATAAAGATTCAGAAAATTGTTTTCAGCTACCACTTTCAGAAAACTCGAATTAAGTGGGTTGGACACTGGAAATGAAAGGAAGCAAAACTACCCCATTCTGGCAGGGGGTCTGTGAACACAAAACCATTTCCAGATTTAAGAAAGACTTCAATTAAACTGTTTCCTAGTGCTCATTTCCAGTGCAAAGATTAATTTTTTTTTTTTTCACCTTATGTTACACCACAAGATAAATGCCAAAAGGCAACACTGGTACAGCAAAAGCGACGCCTGCATGCACTAAATTAAAAAAAAAATAATAAAATAAAGGGTGTGGGGGTGGGGAGGTAGGAACAAAAAGAAAAGGACTTTCTAACCAGGGCACTAAATAACCTCCTGTAAACACGTTGTGTTACTGCTGAACAATATCGCTGCACTCTTCAGCTTTCTCAGTAGATCTCAAACGAGCTCAAAACTGAGAGGGATGTCTTCATCTCTGCCAGCATCCTCTGGAAGATCTGGGTTTTGCTCCCTACGCTCTGCACTGTGAGTGGGATGTTTGCAGCACCGCTCGCAGCCCGCTCTTTGCTCTCTGAAGCTGGGTTCTTCTCTCTCTCTCTCTCTCTCCTGCACACAGAAGCCCAGGTTCAGCCACAGGGTGAGGAAACCAGAGCTTGGCCAGGGCCAGCCAGCAGCTTGTGTTGCTCCATCAGCAGACAATGAGCAATCTGCGTGACAAACGCACCGGGAAATAAAGCAGCACACTGAGTTTCATTAACTCTGAATCAGATTTTCATAAATGGAAGCAGACATCCTGGCCAGTCTGGCTTTGCCACATGGTCCTGTGCCTGTGGTGATGGACCTCAGCCTGGGAGACTTATTTCCCAAACCAATGGGAACCAGGTGAATGGGAAGGGACAAGCCTGCACTGGTCCCAGGAGAAAGGATGGGGTTTAGGCACAGAATCAGAGAGACAGGAAGGCACCAGCTTCAAAGAAAATTACATATTCAGTCCTAATAGCTAGAGAAAGGATAACACAATGGCAATTTCCGCTCAGGTGACAATGGGAAGCCACAAAACCATATTGGGTTCCTTAGCAAAGGAAACCAAGAGGCTCTTCATGTCTGGCAGAAGAACACAAAGGAACTCCTTTGGGCCATGCCTGCTCACAACGCTACACACACATACCTGCAAAGTGGGGGGGAAAGTGAGCAAGATCCTGGTTTGTGATCAATACTGTCAAAATTAATCACTTTATTAGTAATAGCTATTATTGATATGCACTAAAAAAGTTTTCCCTGACAAAATCACTTCAGACAAATGTGTTCCCAGCAGGAAAGAAGAGGCTGTTGGAAGGGAAAACACACGCAATGCAAAGACAGAATTATACAGGAAATAAGCACTGGGAATACGTGAAATTTTTCCTTTCATTTAAGGTCCCTGGCAGGGGAAAGAGGTGGTGCTCCCATCAAATGGAACCTCGAAGAACCTCATGGAGAAGGATCTGGGCCATCAGCACAGCAAACCTGTTCCTCTGCGGATATTCCCAGGGCTGGAGGTGCCTGTGGGAACCCCCTGAGCACCCACAGGTCACAAGTGCAGGCTGATGGCAACAAGCGGGAGCCAGAACTGCAGTCAGAGCCGTTCATATCCAAAGGCAATTCCAAGGAAAAATTAGAGCAGCATCCCTAAGACACTTCTGCCTATGTTACATATCCTCCTGCTGGCCGGCCTTCCCAGGTCACACATGAGGCCACACAGAGCCACAGAGGAGCTGGTGGGTACCTGCCTCTGCTCAGCTGCTCAGAGGAGACATCTGGGGACAAAGACAGAGGAGTTTCCCCAGTGCAAGCAGATTAAAACCACTGCTGCAAGGAGGGATGAAGAAATCATTTTCCTGGGATTTGCTATTCTAATTAATTAGAGCAGCATTACAACAAGGGATCAAGGCTCCATTTTAAGGAGGCAATTACCAAACTCCAACACCTTCCAGGATACTAATGAAATCGATTCTCATCCCAGACAGCTGTATGAAAATCATTGTGCGACTGTGTTGCCTTGGCACGAAGAGTATCGTATAACCTGAAAAGGTAGGAGGAAAGGCCTATCTGCATATCTCTGGAACTGGGGGGACTGGTCTTTAGTTCTGGTGCTGTTAAGCCACCCCTGCAAAAAGCATCTCCAGTTCTTTTGGGATATATCAGGTAATATATATTTTTATAAATTGCCTAAGGAAGATGATACCACTGCATTTGTGCAAAAAAGCTCTTCTTTTTAACTGACCAATTTGCAGAACAACCCCAAAAATTTCAATAAACACAAACCCCAAACCTCAACAGCAACCTTGTTCAGATCAGTTGGCTTCCAGCCTTGCTAGCAATTTCCTAAAAAACTCTTTATTAGGGAATAGGCTATCCTGAAAAAGACTAAGCACCCTCCAGCATCATTTCTAGACATTTTTTTGGTGTGTGTGACAACGGCCAGAATGTAACTTGTTATGTATGACGCATAATGAGATCGCATTCAAAATGTGTTTGTGTGGTTGTGTTGAGGCCATGCATCCATTCAAAGGGAGCCTGGTCAACGGTATGACTTCACGTGGGCCATGAAAGCAATCCAGACTGGGTCTTACAGTGCAGAGCCTGCTCTGAGACCAGTAATTGCTCCATCCTGTTACCCTGCTGTACATAGAGTTAATAAGCAGACAGATGAAAGGCTTGAAAGCTGCCTGCCAGCAGCGCTGATGTTGGGAGAGACTAGTATGGTCATGCACCCTTGCATTTCAGCATCTTGGACCCAGGAGGGGTTTGGAGGGAGATGGCTGGGAGGGCTGGGCTGTGGCTGGGAGGGAGCCCAGGGCACGCTGCACCCTCCAGCAATGACGGGTAGACATGGTCCTCAGGAATATGGTTTAGTAATTTTTATTTCCTATTTCTTATTTATTTTTTTGTCAGAGTTAGGTTGATGGTTGGACTAGATGATCTTTAAGGTCCCTTCCAACCTAGACGATCCTATGATTCTATTCTATGATGGCACCCTGAGCAAGCACTGGCTGCCTGTGGCCCCGGGGCATAGGGGCAAGCAGAAGAAAGCAGATCAGTCCTACATCAGAGGAACTGCAGCCCTGCAAGAGCAGATTCCCTGGGAAGGCAGTCTCCCAGCCCACCCATGGGGCAGCGGCTGGGAATCACCAGCAAACACACATTCCCAAACTGGAAAAAAAAATAAATAATAAAAAAAAAATTAACCACCTAGTTTCTTTTAATTACGATCTTGACTTATCCACCACTCCAGGATATGCAGATGTTTGGCTGCTGGGATGTATCAACACACCTGAGCACTGGAGGCGATTCGTCTCTTGGCTTCATACCTCAGCAGGCAGCAGAGAGGGGCTCCCAGCCCGTAATACCTGCACACCCCAGTTTATGGCATTGGCCATGTCTATGGGTGGAAGCCTTTGTTATTAATAATTTCTCTGATGTTGCCTCGGTAGAGATTTTCATATGCAAATTTCAGCATATTAAAGGTGTTCTGCTGTTCTGGCATCCTTGCGTCAGCTAAGTGCCAAAGCAGCATGCAGCGCTTTACACTTACGTAAGGAGATAAAGTTTTTTGCCTTAAGGATATGATGTTCCAGAGACAGAGATAACATGATGGGAAATGACAAGGAGCAGTGGAGAAGGCAGGGAGGTATAGGGGAAAGAAAACAAAAGAAACTAATAGAGAAGAGAGAAGGGGCAGGGTACTGTCATGGGGGGAGAAGCCTGATTTTTTCATTTCAGCATGTAAGATGTTTTCCCCGGGTTATCTCTCTTTAGGATCTTTGAAGTTATTTTTCTTGATCATCCTCTTCTCATCCTCCACCTCCTTAGGACCATATTTTGCCTCCTCTGCACTCACAGAATAACCGCTGGATCTCACATAGAGGATCATGCTACCCTGTGCAAGAGCGACTGCTGAAATCCAGCCCCTAATGAGCAGGAATCGGCTCAGGGCAGCAAAAGATGAGATTAATGGTAGAAATCTCCAGATGACTGTAAACAAATTTATCTCTTTCAGTTTATCTCTTCCTCCTCTTCTTTGGTTTCTGTTCTCCAGGCCTGTGAGGTACAGCATCTCGGGCCAGAAAATATCTGTTCGAATCAGTGTCTTCAGCTTGAACTAATAACCCGGCCACCCCTCCAGCACCAGCCTGGCTCTGCCAACAAGGTGGGTGCCCACCCCCTTCTGTCTCCGGTAACTGGTGGCTCTGCAAAATTTTAATTCATTCTGCAGCCAAGTCGTCTAGTATCAATGATTATAAAGCTAGAATAAAATGGTTACTGAAATCCTTCTTCATCCCTTGACACGGGCAGTTCTGTTGGGATTGCTGTTTTGATTTCATTGCTCTTTACTGATTCATGACACCTGTGCAGTCGGGCCGAGGTGCTGCTCTCACTGATGAATGACAATATAGCCTAGAATGGGATAGCCTAATAAAATAGAATACCACTAAAAGTTAAAACTTCCATGATAAAACAATAAAACCCTGACAACAAGTGTTATGATGGAAATCCTGATGCAATTGTATTCATGAAGAACAAACCCCCCTATTTTATAGCTCTCTTTAAAAAAATAAAAGACACCCTGCAAATTCATTTTGTTTGTCTCTCTCAGAACTGAGACCCAGGAGATACGAGTGATGTATTAATTTTAAGTACATAACTTACTTATGTTCAGTACGTTCTCCTGCAGCTTTCCTTTCCATATTACAATACCTTGGTGGAATTGTTTTCTGTAATTTATGCTGAGATTTGCTGCTACAGGCAGTTTACAGCATGTCAAAGAGATGCAACCATGACAATGTCATCGAGAAACTTCATCACATTGCATCGTATCAGCCCCACCACTCGTCTTCAACGAGGTGGCCATGGTTATCAGCTCACAGCTGCTGTCACTATGACTAATGCACTAATAACCAAGCTTTCATTCAGAGTAAATATACATTGTTAGCTCATTGTTTTAACACCACAGCGGAGATATTACACTTGGGTCCACTTTCACTGGATTTCACTGAATTTCACTGAATTTTTAGAGTTGGAAGGGACCATAGAGATCATCTAGTCCAACTCCCCTGCTGAAGCAGCATTGCCTAGAGCTAGAGCATGTTACTCAGGACGGCATCCAGGCGGGTCTTGAAAATCTCCAAGGAAGGGGACTCCACACCCTCCCTGGGCAGCCTGTCCCAGGGCTCTGTCACCCTCACCGTGAAGAAGTTTCTCCTCATATTTGAGTGGAATCTCTTATGTTCCAACTTGTGCCTGTTGCCCCTCGTCCTCTCACTGGGAACCACTGAAAAGAGTCTGGCTCCCTCCTCCTTCAACCCTCCCTTGAGATACTTGTAGGCATAATTTTAATTATGCCTATTAATTAATTTTAATAATTTTCTTAGCGTGATGGACATTCACTGGACTTCTCCTAATCCCCTGCAAACGGGATGAAGCCCATGTGGAGTCAACACCGTGAGACAAAGTGGCAGAAGAAGGGCCAGCACCAGCCACCCCAGGCCACCAGCTCTACCACCCTGCTGCCTTGCCTGGCACCTGGGTGCCACCGCAGGGATGCCAGAGCCTCCAGACCCCCCCAAGCCACCCGGGGGGGTGTGGGGGGGCGGTGCGGGACACGGCATCCCCAAAGCTGTCCGGGCGTGCGGGGTGGGATGGCGGTACCTCGGCGGAGGCTGCGGGAGGAGAAGATGCCAGGGAGGAGCGGGGGAAGGATGCTGCTCCGGGGGGGGGGTAGCCAGCCCCCCTCCAAC